GAGAAGCTGTTCTGGGTGGAGATCTCGAAGACCGGGAGGGGCGGCGGAGAGGTTCTAGCTCTGGTCCTGGCTCGTGTCTTCCGCTGTGTGATCCATGGTGTTGTGTCGGTGCTGGAGTGAATGAAGCCAGAGATGATCGCATCCTCCTGGGCAGAGAAAAACATGGAGTAAATGAAGTCGGAGTCAAAGAGTAAATAACCACTGACTTGTGAGCATCGGCACGTGATTTTTCAAGCGCTGACCGCCGATCCAGCAGCTCACAGCTTACAGGCATCAAGTTGTCTCTCCACAGGCGTCACTAAACGAGGAACATACACAGTCTCAATGTAAATGTTCCACACTAAGCATATCAATTAAGTTTGAACAACAAAGACTGTGATTTGGACTTTGACTTACTAGTCATTAGGTGTGTAAAGTCTTGGAGATGTCCGACAGAACAGCCGCTCCGATTCTGCTGGGGTCAAGGCCATCAGCACGACATAGCGTAGGTCTCTCTCAGAACAGATTCCAATTATTTACAAAGAGCAGTTTCTGTCAATCACACAATAACATTAACCATTCATTTAGTGCAGATAGTCTACTGAACCTTTCCTGTCCTTGTCGGTACGTGGGAAGCGATCCAGGCACAATGATCATTGCGTCAGGTGATGTGTTGCGTACCGTCTCGATCAGGCTCCTGTAGTCCTTCAAAACCTCCGTCAGCCGCAGCCTGATGTCGTTCACTCCCGCAGGCAGCACAAAAGCTCTAACAAACTGGAGTTGACGAACGCCATTTTTCTCAGGACAAGCGTCCCGAGATAAAAGCAGAAAACAGATGGGAAATAATTAGCATTGCTGATGTTCATAATGATTTCCATTACACAGGAGTAGATGTTAAAAACCCCAATCTCACAAACTCTCCGCAACCCAACCATACACGCCAACCCGTTTGACTAAGGCTGTCGAGCCTCACTGTCGAGATAATGCGTTTCATTGGCAATGGTTCCGTATGGCATACCACCTACCGCAAAAACACAATATCTGCCCAACCACCCATCATTCACGCAATACACACAGGAAAGTAATGACTGTAAAAACTACGCAACCAATACAAGTAACCTACAGAGTAATCAAGTTTTATAGTATTAAATGCATTCAGATTCATCAGAAGAATAAAAGGTAAGCAGTATGTGAATGCTTGGCTAAAGAGATGCGTCTTTAGTCTAGTTCTAAACTGTGACAGCGAGTCAGAGCGTCGAACCATATCGGGAAGGCTATTCCAGAGTTTGAGCGTAAAGAATTTAAGTTTGACCCTAACTTTTAGTTCTGGAATATATACATTAATAAATAACTAATGCTAATTACAAGTAATTGTCTAACAGTGTTGTTAATAAACCAAGAACTGACCACAGAGAAGTCATCTGAACAAATTGTAAATACCATTCGAATGCTTATGATTTAGAGCAGATTTGACTTACTCGACCTAACCCGAGGATAATAAATGAGGTTAAAGGAGTTAAGATTAAAGATTGGGGCTTTAACTGTTTAATTCTGGCCAGTAATTGAACAGTTAAGCGCCTGCTAAATAGCGTGTGCGTGGATATGCTTAAGGATTAGAAATTTATTTTATTTTTTGAAAAAAAAAAAAAAAGATAAAAATCAAATAGAAGACAACTAGTGAAACTTTGAGAAAAAAAAATCTAGAAAATATTTATTATAGAAAAAACCCAGAAAGGGTTAGATGTACACATATAAAAAAATAAGTTAAAGAGTGAATGAAAGACTAATAAGTCTATACCAAAGAGGCTAATCTATGGCAGCAAAAGCCCAGGAAAATTCCAGAAAGACTTTTATAGAAGCATATAAATGGGATGATTCTCATGTATTAGGATGGCAAAAGATAGCCTTAGAGGCAAAGCCTCAAAATAAAAGTTTGTTTGCATAATATTAGGGTTAAAACAGTGTGAGGTGCAAAACGAAAGGTTTAAGAGAACATGAAGTGCAGAGAAAAGCACATGGAAAAAATAATAATTCACTTGTTGTCTCCACACAAGGAGGACTTCAGAAGATATGCAGAGGATCTGTTAATACTCAAGAGCATGTGGAGATCCTGAGAAACACTCATAACAGACAAGCATTTAAACCACAAACTGCAAAGTATAAATTGATTATGTTGGCAAAATAGGCAAGTTAACAAATTAACATTAACAAGCTGTCATCAGTGAACATGTCATTCTTTGAGTTTTAGGGTGCACATTCATGAATGGATCTCACCTGAACTTTACCGGTCACTACATGCAGGACGACCCTCAGTATCTGAAATCTGACTCACTCAGGTGCCTCTAAACAGCTCCTGCAAAAACACAAATCAGACAGATCACACACACCCCCAGTACTCATTCCAATCAAGAGCTCACTGGAGCAAAACCATCAAATTAAGTTAATTCATTAGAGTAACAGAGGCCATATTTGGAATATGAGTGTTTAAAAAAAAACACAGGACAGGTTGTAGATGGATCGTTGGACATAAAATAACTACATGAACGATCCGATCTCAGTGATAGAGTTCACATCATACTCATTTATATCTACAGAGGAAACAGAACAGTTAACAAGATATACCAAATTAAAAAAAAAACAATAATAATAATAAATCCAAAAATCTGTGTGAAAGCGAATAAAGTGAAATATACAAAAACTCTTAAAGACCAGCAAAACACTGACAAAGTCCAGCAGATAAAAGAGACTGTAAAATACCCATCAAACATCAAATCTCAATCTTCAAAATCTATTTGGGATGTTTATAAGAGCAGTACACAAAAATGAGTTTCATATAAATAAATAGAAATACTCACAATACAAGCATCCCAATTCTATGATCAAAGGAGGCATAGCAAACATGTATTTCTGCTTTAGAAATGTGCTCATAAATGTCAGGTACAAAATGGTGGATGTATTAAAGCACACAACAAAGGAGATAACTTCAGGAGACATTAATAGACCAGTGACCAGAAGAATCCACGAGGAGAACCACACATCAACTACAACTTAAAGTAATGCAAGCTGAGCAGGGAGAAACAGAGGGCTTAAATACACAGATAACAGATCAGGGAAACAAGACACAGCTGGGGTAAATTAACCCAACGACAGTAACCATAGTAACAAACTGGGCGAGAATGGAGACCTGACTAGTTCATTTGTTTCAGCTGTTTTGTGTTAATGAAGACGGTGAAACTGGAATCAAGAAGTGGCACAATTTGATGAAAGCCTAAAAATTCTTCAGTAAGCCTTGGTTAATGATCACTACATTTAAGCTGTACTGCATTAAAGTTTCAAAAAACTTTATGAAAATACAAATATACAGAAAGGGTAGAGATCTACAAGACCAGTTAAGTACAAGTGAAAAATAACCAACAATAAAAACAACTGTCTTACGTTTTTTGGCTTACATTTAAAAAAAAAAAACATTCCCCTTCATCTTCTACACTTGGTTTCTTCCAGTTTCCAACATCAGCACAGATATAAAAGCCCATCCCAGAAGAGAGAGAGAGAGAGAGAGAGAGAGAGAGAGAGAGAGAGAGAGAGAGAGAGAGAGAGAGAGAGAGAGAGAGAGAGAGAGAGAGAGAGAGAGAGAGAGAGAGAGAGAGAGAGAGAGAGAGAGAGAGAGAGAGAGAGAGAGAGAGAGAGAGAGAGAGAGAGTTCACTCTCCTACGTGTTTCTTTTGTTATGTTTTGTGTTTATTATAGTTTTGATTGGTAAATAAAGTGATTATCTTTTGATTAAGTTTTTGCGTCTCGCTTCATTGTCACTAACTCTGAGCTGGGTTGTGACAACTGTTTGTAAAGGAGGAGCCTTTTTGCTAACCATAGTAAGTAGTATTAAGGGTTTAGAAAAAATGGATACAGTTTTCTGTTGTGATATTTCTCATTAGATATTAGACTACAGATTTAAAGCTCCAGTAGGTAACTTTTGTAAACAAATATTTTTTACATATTTGTTAAAACTGTCATTATGTCCTGACAGTAGACAAATCAAGCTCTTCTGGCTCCTCCCAGTGGTCCTATTCCCATTTGCAGAAATACACCGCTCCCGGTCAGAAACAACCAATCAGAGCGAGGAGAAGTGTCTTAGCAGTGTCAATCATGCTCGTGTACGTGCTGATCACACCCCTCTCTTGCACAGCGCACCGTCATTCAGACCAAACTCAAGATTGGCGGTGTGATGCACGCCGGGGACATGCATGGCTCGAAGCGACCTCAGATGCTTCTGACCCCAGAGGAGGAGAGTGAATTGCGGCATTCAACGGAAGCGTAGACCTCCTCGACGGTCATGTACGCAAAGGTCGCACTGCCTGACTGACCCTCTGTGGAGGATTAGATTCCTTCGCAGGAACGAGAGTCTCGACCGTAGCTCTGAGATGGTCATCTGTCATCTTTCTAAACAACGCATTGTCTTGTTTAGTTTCACTCGAAGTAGATTGGCCTGTCTTGCGAGATTCCTATTTGTCGGTGTGAAGAGGAACCAGAGTTAGGGTTTGTCGCTTCACTGCCATTCGCAAATCCTTCCAAGTGGCCTCATGGGATGGTAAAGTGTCGATCAGATGCGCACTGAAGCAGGTGATGGAAGTAGTAGGTAATCCAGGTATTTTTCATCCACAAATACTGATTGCATTCTTATCACATACTGATTTCTCAACTATAGGAGGAAATTGTGTGTATTTGGATGCAGGCTGTGGGTGGTTCTCGAGAGGTTGAACACACGACAGGTTGCTCTCACTCACACATGCACACAACACAACAGTACACAACACAACAGTACACAACACAACAGTACACAACACAACAGTACACAACACAACAGTACACAACACAACAGTACACAACACAACACAACAGACAGCAGAGCAGCCTGAACCATTCAAGCAAACTGTAGAAAACATTTCAACACATTCTGCTTTAACCCAGTTTCACATTTAATGGTGTGAATTTAAATAACTCAATTTAAACAAATAGGACAACATGAAATATTAATAAATGTGTATTTTATTGTTATTAATGATAGTTTCTCTTCAATTAACATTGCAGATACAGAATAAAAAAGAGAAAATTTCAAAAACAGGAGACAAACAGAACCTTAATCTTTAGTGTAAGATTGGTGAAAGTGCCAGAGACTAATTCTGTGCTATATATATTATTATTATTGTTATTATTATTATTAATTTTATTCTTATTTTGATCAGTAATATCAGAAATGTTCATGAAACAATTTGCCACTCTCTTTGAAAATGCCAAGTTATTTTTTCATGAATCTGGCTAGATTGTCTTCATTTTATTAACATTTCAATTTATATTTACACAATGTAATATAAAATACAAGAAAAAAATCCTTGTAGGAATATGAAAAGTAAAACAATAATGTGGAAATAATCAGATTGGTGTCATTGACAGTGATTGTGAGATGAGCTGGCATCAACAAACTGGAAATCTGGGGTGTGTTTAAGATGAAATGCTTAATGAGAAGGTTGGCACAACCCCGTTTTCTTACTCTCGCCTCTGTGAGATACAGATTTTTGCATATGATCGGTTCTTAATATTATACACTAATAACTCTTTTTGGCACTACTCATAAAATATACAATGTGAACAACACGCTTTATGCTGTTCTGTATAGATTGGTACAACAATGAATTTGCAAGAAAATGTTGATCTTTTTCTCCTACTTTAAATCCAGGGTGGTTTACCCCTGATGCCCACCAGCGCAAGTGAGAAGGCAAAATATAAGTATGCATCCATCGCTTATTGCCAGCTTTGGTTTCACTTCATTTACATGCTAACAGAGTCGTGAGTTATTGATGTAAAGCCTTCATTAGATTGACAGTGAGATTAATAGAAAACATGGCATGAACAAGACATGACAAACTGATCATCTGCACAACTCAGAACTAGGCTGTGCAGTGTGTGTGTGTGACGGGACAGCTTCATTAATGAATGCCGAGACAGTCCAGCACACAAGGGCTGACTCCCTGACCCTCGTAAATATATTAGACATCGCTTTTCTTTCATTCGGTCCTCTACTTGTCTTGCGTTCAGCTACGAGAGCAGAGTTGTGTGTGTAAGCTAAGCTGCCCCTAGTTACTGACACAGGACTGGCCCATTGTATAAAATGAGGTAAAAATTAGCCCAGGTCTGCTCCTTCCCCTAATGATAGTTTCTACAATCACTAGAACGTGGGAAACGTCACACTGATGAGGTGGAGAGAAGTGATGTGATGGCAGTACCTTATAAACAGTGACAGAATGCAGTAACACTCCAAACCTGTTGGTGGTGTTGTGGAGCAGCTGGAGGCACTATAGTGGAGGTTAACAGGTTCAGGTGTGCAATGAAGACAACAAGTAATGTAACTATTTAGTGACAGATTAAGCACTTTTTCTGATGTGAAAATGTCTTTGCAAATATATATAGAGAGATAATTATATTATAAATTGAATACATATCTAATTGCTATGCTCTCTTATAAATGATGCCAAAATCAAGGGGGAAATTAAAACACAAATATCGGTTTTCTCCTGCTCATCCATGATATGACAGGGACACAAAAAATACTTTTGTCAATTTGTTCTCTATGAAAAGAGATTCATTGATGAGCTAGAATGTCTCTCCAGTGCGTCCATTAGAGGAATGAATGAAATGTGGCTTAGTACTGTATGTCGTTCCAAACTAATTCTTTTGTTATAAAAAAAAAACGTTTAAAATAATATACAGTTTTTCTTAAGTTCTCCCTATCAAGCTGAATAGCAAGGCTGTTTTTTTCCTTCCTTTTTAATAGAAAGTCTCAGTATCTTAAATGGAGAAACCGAGAGCAGCAGAGACACTAGAGCTTCATAATGGCGTCTAGCTTTTCCTCGTGAACGTCGTCTGCTCCGTTCACTCAGGAAGGAGAAGAGCTTTCAGGCCTCAGTAACATTTGCATAAAGGTGTTTTTCCTTGATTTCATCAACCAACCACAAAAAAAGAGGAAAACATCCCAATGGCACAAACTCTATAATGACTCTATTTCTAACAGTGGGTCAAGAGAAAAACACATCGGGTCACCCTTTCCTCTGTCTCACGTCATTTTATGATAAGGGGGAAAAGAGCAAATCAGAAACTGAACTGAAAAAATACCAATGCTACAAAGAAACTGCAAACGATATGTACAAGACCCTGTATTCCTTGAGTATATGAATGAGCTGTTTGTGAGAGAATGAAAGTTTCTCATCTCAACGACATGTCTCCAGTTTTTGCCCCTTGTTTCGAACCCCTGTGAGTCGTGGTGCAAAGTGAACAGCAGCAGTTTTCAAGGGTCATTAACATTCGACCCTTCCCGGCGATGTCACCAGATCACACTGGAAATGCTGGTTTCCCTGGGCAGGAGCGGCAGCATGGCATTGTTCACGAGCTGCTCCTCGATGGCCTGCTGCTCACGGGGCGCTCGCTGGCCGTTCACCAGAGTCATGGGGATGTTGCAGTACGTGTGCTGGTTCCCGAGGGTGCCGGACGAGGGAATGTCATACTCGTAGCTCCTGTAGTAGTGCTTCTGTCGCAGCTGCGTGTGGTACGTGTTGTGGAAAGTGGAACGCAGCTCAGGATGAGTGGTGGCCATGGCGGTGGATGTCGCTGCGGCCATTGAGATGGCAGAGACGGTCTGCAACTCCCCGAACGGGCCCTGCTCGCTGACGTCCAGCACCGGCTCGTGCGACGGCTTGGGCTCCGGGCGCTTAAAGGGCATCTCGTACTGCAGCTGCTTCCAAAACTTGGAGTCGAGCTTGCTGCTCTTGGGTCCCGACCACTTGATGACCGTTAGCAGTTTTATGGTGTGTTTGAGAGCCTCAACTTCCTGGTAGTTCATGATTCCCCGCAGCTCGGCGCATTCGATGAGGATGACTTTGATCTCTCCGGTGACCAGCATGTTGCGCAGTCGAGTCTCCAGCTCAAAGATGCTCCAGCCGCGTCGCACCACGTAGTTGGGCGTCATAACGATGATGAGACGCTTGCTCTGGTCGACGCAGCGAGCCACATCCTCGATGTAGGCTGAGAGAGAAAGAGAGGCAGAACGTCAATAACATTCCTGTTATAATTCAATCTGTTTTGCTTTGAAAAGGACGACATGCAAATAAAACAGAACGAAACACAAATCGGATGTGTCCAAAATACTGCCATGATTCAACGAGGGAACACTGAAAACACAGAACGGGGGAACAGGACAGACGAAGCGACATCAAACACAAATCTTGCTCTGATCTCATGGGGCTGAAGTCTCTGAACGAGGCAGACCAAAAATAGCATTAATGAGAAAACAAACTCGTTCAGTGCTGCATTCTGCCTAAAACGAACAAAAAAATGCCTGCAAATGGTATTTAAGTGAAAGAGAGGGCAATCTCTGTGTGTGCGGCTGTGTTAGATGACTAGACACGTCTAATCTAAAAGGCAGTGTTGGGGAGTAGTTAACTACAAGTAGCGACGCTTCTAACTTAACTACAGTTTTCAGTAGCTTGGCAGAGGCTCAGTTGCTTTTTAAACAGTGTAGCTTTTCCAGTGGCTAACTACTTTTTGCAGCAAGTAGCAGTGTAGCGCGAGCAAAGGCTACATTGCGTTTGTCAAGCCTGCGTCAATCAGCGCGACGCAAGGATATTCTTCTGGTTAGATTACAAACTCATTTTTTGCCATTACCGCCACCTGTTGTTTAATCACGCATCTTGCAGCTAACGGTTCACTGACGTACAGAAGTGGGTTGACACAGCCATATTATGACTGACGTGACGGCAGATTCGGAGGATGGAAAAACAACTAACATTAATTACACATGGCCGACCTTATTTGTCCAAGTTTAATCGGTATTTTTGAGAAAATGTTCTACGTGCAATTTACGTTGGATGTTATTTTGTTCTTGCAATGTTGTAGGCTACTTTTGACAAACAGTCTGAGATAGTTGAGTGTTGTGTGTAATAAAACAAAACTCTTTGAAATCATAATTGTATGTCATTGTTTTAAACACTAACCCCTTTCAATTCGATCGAAATTACAGTCGGATCGAGCTCAATCGGATCGATTAAGGTGTTTATATGAAGGGTTTTCAGTCCGATTGAGCCGTCAATCCGATTATAAGGGTCCATGTAAACGCAGCTGCTGACTATTTAATTTACAAGATTTGGTAAAAACATAATAATGCTGTTTCAACACCTTGTACGATTCTTGTCCTAAATCACAAACTCTCTAACGCAGAACTAAATAGATGGTGTTCAGTTCAACCTGAATCCGGTTCAACTCAACGCCATGTCCCAGTTTCCCCCAAAAGTGAAGTTTGTAAAAGAGTGTGAGTCAGTCTTTGACACAAGTGGAAAAGGCTAGGGAAGAATACCTCTAAGGAGTCTTGTGTCATCCTGGAAATGATCATTGCTGAAACCTAGACATAAATATTTCAACATTGAAATTTGGATCAGCCGATTTAAACTCAATTGGAAAAAAAAAAAAGACTTCCACAAGAGAAACTGGCATAACTGTATCTTTTTGCCTTAGCATTTTCAATTAAATCACCAGTTTATCCAGCTTAATATGGGACTGAGGGACTCTTTCACAGAGTAAGTCTTTCACATCAAACATGGCTTGCGCTTCTCATTGAAGAGAAATTATGAGTTTAACACCTAAAATCAAATCAATGCTTTATTAGCCCTGATTATGAGCACCTTGTCCCACATTAACATCTTACAGTCCCGGACAACAGACATAAGTATAGACAAACACACGTGGAATTGTTTAAAGTAAAAAGGGCAGGACAGATACAGTACATGAGTGAGAGTCAGATGAGCAAACAAACTTTTACAAGAAGCTTCTCTCAAAGCTAAAATATTAACAGAACAAACAAATAAAAGCTTCTCAAACTAAAGTAACTTCACATGAAAATAATCATGAAACTTTCTCCATACAACATTCAACTGGATGAAGATGCAACTCCGCACTAACAAGAACACACATAGTGATACATGTTTACACACACCGTACAAATAATGCAACTTACTTCCAGTTGGGATCAAGTCCCTGTCGGGAATGAAGAGTTTATACCCATAATGCTTTTCCAGAACATCTGGCAGAATCTCCAAAGCAAACCGTTCCTCCTCTCTGGTTTCCTGACACCACTGGTCTGGATCCACTTTAGTGTAGGACACGTACGCGTCATAGTCTTTATTTTCTTACAACACACAAACAGAACGGAGACTTACAATTAAACAGTTCTTTGTCACACTAAGCATTCATTACTTGTAACAGCAGCGATGTGTGTGTGTGTGTTTGATCCTGAGCCGTCGCTACAGGATTCCCTTTACACCGCCACACATCTCCACTGTGCTCATGAAGGATTTGCATCTCGAAAGGCTTGAGTTTGGTGCAGTGCCTAGAAACATGAAATATACTCACAGACCACTGCCACTTAATTATGAAAGAGATTCATTATAAAAAGCAGCTTTAGGGAACAGGCTTTAAAACGACAGGTGTTTTCTTCACTTTAGTTATCCGTGTGGATGTAATTCACTGGGAGTAAATCTGCATGTGTGTCTATGAGGAAGTGCCATGCTCAGTAATGACTGTCCACTGTCCACCACAAATGGACAAACTCTGATTCCTTTCACATTTGAGCAAATGGAAAATCTGTTTCTGCCTTCCTGGAGAGGCACAAGTAAAGAAAGATTAATAGTAGATTAAAGTCAAAGGTGTTTTACTGTCTCTCTGCCTTCTCATTTCTTATCTTCCTTCCCCATCCGGCACACACACACACACACACACACACACTAATTAATTAATTTGCTTTTTTTTTCAAGCTGTGCTATCTGGATTGTTAGAAAATCTTTATATTGGGGTGGTGGTGGCGCAGGGGATAAGACACATGCCTTTGGTGTGAGAGACCCGGGTTCGAATCCACTGTAAGACACCAATGTGTCCCTGAGCGAGACACTTGACCCCTCGTTGCTCCAGAGGCGTGCGACCTCTGACATATATAAGAATTGTAAGTCGCTTTGGATAAAAGCGTCAGCTAAAAGAAGAAATGTAAATGTAATAATATTTCTTACCTCCGTCCACATCCTCACTGCCAAAGTGATTTCTGTAGAAGATCATGAGTTCAATTCTGTAACACTTATACAGGGACACCAAAAATATCAACATCAGCAGAATGGCTCCCAAACCTCCAGCCAACTCTACCGTATACATGAGCTCTGCTGAGAGAGAGAGAGAGAAACAGAGAGAGAGACACTTATAACAAACACTCACTCTGTCAATGAGCAAAGTTCAGGATGTTCATTCCTTTATGTGTGTTAAACATTTCAAACAAATGCAAAGGAACGAGCCTTTAATTAATATTCCTGTGTGAGAGTGTGTGTGTGTGTGTGTGTGTGTCAGTGGGCATGTTTAGCTATACTTGAGAGGACCAAATTTCTCGGACAATTCGCTGCTGCGATGTTAAATGCCAGAGGGTCCTGCACCTCTACTTGATGAAGATGAGTGTCCTTTAAATGGGCCAGTTCGACAGACCTGACTGACCCAGCACACGCAAGTCTTCAGCTCTAGTGTCATGTCAGGTCTGCATCCGCAGATGTGTTCAATGGAGACGTTTGATTGTGTCAGAGCGGAAAATCTCGCGTTTATGTTCAACATTCTGGAATGAAAGACAGAGGTGAGGGAACGGCTTCATTGACACAACAGATGCACCGGCGGTGAAGCAGGGCCGTTTCCAACGCCTTGAACTCAATAGATGGACAGTGTATCAGACAAATGTACAAGGAACAAAATTATCTCATGTGGAATTCCTGCTTTCGGTCATTTATGAATCAACTTCATTTCGAAGAGACCAAACACACACAATGAAAAGGAAAGAAGTTGTGTGAGAGTGTAAAGAGAGATAAGTGAGGGAAATGGGCAACAGAAGCTTTTCAACTGGCCTCAACATCTTCAAGCAGAAACAGAGCATCACCAGCACGCGTCATTCATCAATTACTATAAGCACTGATTATGATTATCAAAAGATCAAGACAGTAGGAGACACACAAAAGGGTCTTCTCATTGGTCCACAGGAGGTTTCTGCCCCCCACCTCCCCAAGGGTTAGCCCTGGACCGTCATACAAATCATTTGGGACATTTTGGACATGGCAGTGATGGCTGAGGAGCCACAAGAGTCCATTCATAATTATGTTTGGAATCCTTACAATTAATATAAATATGACACATCCATTTTATACTTTTTCAGAGAAATAAGTATTCTCAGTGACAGTGATTTGCAATTAATTTAGTTGTTAATTTACAAATCAATGCAGGCAAGACAGTTCAGTCTAGTTCCATCTTGTTTGGAATCTATGTGTTCAGAACATTGCCAAAGGTATTCTGGTATTGATTTGGAAAGTTTTAAAACTCGTCTCCATACTCCATACATACGGCGTGATGACTCCGACCTCAAACCAGAGGCAACTGGATAAACATTATGAATGATCTGATCCAGTCTGACCTCTGACCTGTGATGCTGCCTGAATCATGATCACACACGGTCCGTTCCTTGGCCAGAGGAGAACTGAGCGACTGAGCCTGGGTTCTTTTTTCTTCATTCTGTCACTGATGGAGATTTGGTTCCTTGTTAGGGTTAGGCCTTTTTCACCTCTTTATACCACAGCCTTTGGCTTGCTTAGTTGGCGCAGAGTGGCAGAAGACATGCAGACACATTTGGTACTTTCACTTCCAGGTTCCTTCGTCTGCGTGTTCCAGATTTTAGGGAACCTTTTGTTGTTTCAAGATCTTCATGTTCAAGGCTGTTGGGCTCCTTTCTCAATGTAATGTTACCCAGCACAAACACCATCGGACCGCTCGCTCGACCGCATATCACTTCACCAAACCTCTTTCCAGAGACCTTGGCATTGTACATTACCAGGATATGATCTTCTAATTTACATTATACATTGAAGAGCAGATGCCAGTTAATAACACATAATCTTTCAATTTATTTGTTTGGTTCTTCACCTTATAGGTTTCAGAGAAACCACAGTTTATCTTTCCATAAAATAATGTAACTCTGTCATAATAACCAATAACCCATTTCACCGGAATGAATTTAGTCTGGCTAAAGGTGGAGTGGACATGTCTATTCTCCAGTGTCTCATGAATGATCTGTAGTGTTTATAATATTGACTGGCTGTGTGTATAATCTGAAAGCATTTTTTTTTTTGAGCACAGATAAAATTGTTTGATTTTTCCAAAAGAGTTAGTTCTTCTCTGTATGTAATTTGCAGATTTGGTTTTGTGTTTAAAGTTTTGAGAAAGTGGGTGATGGTGTCTCTCACCCCTCTTGCTGAGCTGGATGTTGGCCTGTCGTCTTCCGTGGCCATTTTCCACATAACATGAATAATTCCCCAGGTCGCCCTCCTCCACGGCATCTATCGTCAGTGAGATGGACACTTCCTGCTCACCCAAGTGCTCCCGTACAGTCCTGGAATGGAGGAGACAAGAAGAGGAGAACAGTTCATGAGATTGGCATGGTAATGGGTCCGACGGTGTTGTGTGTTTGGACTTGGCGGAACAGATCTGCTACGCTGCTGCAGTTATTGCTGCGGGAGAGCAAGTACAGGACTTACTACAGCCCATACATACACGACACGCAGCTGTACAATATAGCGTACATGAACTATACCCGTTGCAGATCTGTACAGGTGGAGCTGGGGAAGGTGGAGTGTTTCTGAAGCGTGCTGCACTGCTAAGGCAAATGCTATCCAAGTATTTGAGGTTTGAGCAGCGAGCTCATTGGCTACTGATAAGGCAGGAACCAATCAGCTGCCCCCTATGGATAATGGTGTGATTATGAACAGGTGAGTAAATGGACCAATTAGCCTGCACCATCTAGAGCTTCGTGCTAGAAGGACAAAGATGAACATTTCTGCTGCTCATGTGTCTGTGCCCCTTTATCAAATGCAGAATACTTTTAAAGGTTATGCATAAAAACCGAAGTACACTTTGGCCTAATGTTGAGAATCGTTTTCAATTGGACACACACCTTTGTTTCAAACCACATATCCCTCAATGATTAAACTAGTCGAAGATCAGATGAAACAGCCAGCCTCGCTGTTTCCGAGGTTTCTGTGAGTGTGTGTATAGTGGTTACACACTGTTCAAATATTTTAATTCTACCCAATGTAAAGTATACGTTTACTTTATAGATGTTAATGTTGTTAATATCAGTACATTTCACTGCTGAATACGCATTTGTTTAATTTCTCATAGGCCTCCTCAAGAAATCACAATACACACACACACACACAACCAACACAACATCAGCCATCATTTGCAAGACCTTTATTTATATAATAGCACTATATACAACAGAGATTGTTTCAAAGCAGGGTCACATAGACAAACAGGGAACTGATGATTCAATTATTCGAGCAGCGGGATGCGTATAATCCGGTTAGCAATCTGTTAGGCTGTCATGTAAGTGTAGTAATAAGTGTGCGATAGTATGAATGCGAAGTAACTGTAAGTAAGTAATGAGTAGACGCAGTACAACAGTAACGTGTCATCTATTCTCCATGTATTCATCTTCTCATATCATATCAAATCAAATCACGTACAGACGACAAAACACCAACTTTTGTATATTAAAACTGGCGAGATCCTTGACTAGTTTACTGGGTTTCGTTGCTACAGGACGCCGTTCGTGCCCGCAGCCAGTGCTTGTGACGTCACGCGCATGAATTCAGTTATAAAGCAGCTGTATAGAAAACAGTGGTGTCGTCTTCCAGTTCAGTTCTTATTTCAAGTTCCAGAACAGTCATGTCAACAATATTGCTGAATATTTGGTGTTTTCAAAAGTGTTTGCATTCAAACTTCATTCACACTATTTTAACTCTTCTAAAAATGGGTTTTGCATAGTAACTCCACTCAAATGATTAGCCATATACATGCCAAACTACACACAATGTGAAAATGTAAAACACTGCTATCTTGTGTCTTTTGCCTGTTCAGTGTACAGTGAAGTGACAGGAGTTTGTCGCCACTCACACACACGTGTGTGCAAATACACTGTATACTGTATAGTATGTGCACAATTGATGAACTTTATAGTTATTGAACTGAAGCAACACTGAACTGACTTGTGCTGAATAATGACTCTATTGGCTTCACAGCAGAATTTCTTACTATAATTACAATTTGTGTTGTATGAAGTGCTATAGATTGTTTGTTTGTTTGTTTGTTTGTTTATTTTATTTATATCAGGACAATGTGCAGTTACGTTAAAAAGATGGCTGCACCAGATTATTTAGCACAATGCTAATTTCCATCTGTAGTCCTACACAATTAAGATCATATGATAAAGTTAAAACTGCATAACAAGAACAATTAACAGTAACAATTAAATATATAGTATGCATATTGAATCTATATTTACAAAATATTGTAAACAAAAATACAAGGGTGAAAAATGTATTAGTTTCAAAAAAATTGTTTTGATTTCTAAGTGTTAAAATGATCGATATTTACAGTATAAACTTAAATACACTATAAAATGGGGGAGGGAATCATTTCTTTCTTTCTCAAAACAACCCGTGGGCAACTCTAGTTGTGTTCATTTGTGCTATATAAATGAATAAATGAATGAAATGATGGTTGGGTTTAGGCATTTGTGCCATATCAGTGTTTTTCAAATCCAACACAACACCTTTTAGCTTTGAATGATGTTTCTAACGTAGAAAATCGTTTTGTGAAGTGTCACAATTACAAACAGAGAGTGTTTGAGTGTAAAGCAGAGAAAGTGCTGCAGTTTAGCAGACTGGGTCTGAAGATTAGGGACATGTACTAGTTTTAGTGTGCAAGCATTTAAAAAAAAACTTGTAAAAACCTAGTTTGTATTTGAATGCTTGTCTATATAGGTAGGCCTAGTTGTGTAAGTAGACATTCGTTTTAACTATCAGCAAATGTAACTTAGCAGTTGAGGAAATTACTAATAACCACAACCACTCATCAGACATAGTGACACTGAATGAAGTGAAAATCAGACACTTACATTATGATTAACTAAAGCTCGCCCATCATGACACACACACACACACACACACACGCACACACACACACCACACACACACACACACACACACACACACACACACACACACACACACACACACACACCGGACTACCAAGCACTACGGGGAAGAAGAAATAACAGGGTTTGTTAGAGAAGAGATCGTCTTTTCTTTGCAGCTGCCATGGAAACAACGTCTGCAGAGAGAGAGCGGATGATGGGGAATTCATATCATTACAGAAACATTGTTTCTGCCCTCTTTCCACGTGTGTGGATGTTTCACACCATTCCAGTGACGTCAGAGCCGTCCAGCGGGTCGCTCGCCTCCTCTAATCACACTAATTAATATTACAGTGTTAGTAGTGGACAGGGCTGCGAGACCCAAAGCTAGTGGACCTCAGGTACAGATTCAGAAATGAAATTCTGCTGTCATTGCTGTCAGCTCTTCTCTATTAGCACTGATTCAGCCACTGGCACAGTAACAGGCAGAAAATGCCACACCTGCCTGAGGATCAGTTCTGACTAAATGATTGATGACATACCAACCAGACCTGAGAAAGGCAGTCAAACACTCAGCCAACATCCACCCACAGCATTAGCAATGAACCGTATTAATACTGTAAAGAGCTCTGGTGGAGCTCAGAGGACTTTAATTGTGGCGAGAGTTGATACAGACTGTATTACGATGCTCATGGTGTGTTTGTATTATCATTCCAGCTACTCTGTACAATACTCTATATTCTCATACTATAAATTACAGCAATGGCGCTTTCCCACTACACAGTACCAGCTCGACTCGCCTTTGTTTGGTTTCCACTGTGTAAAAGTTGTACCTGTTCCTGCTTTCGGGCTTTTTCATCTCCGGCGAGGTTCTGATCGAGCTGAGGCGAGCCGATACTAAAATGTGACGTGAAAACAATGCTGAATGCTGATTGGTCAGAGAGAATCGTCTCCATTCACTGCGCCATCATTACACGCGCCAGATGGAGTATCCAGAATAACCCGCTGTTTTTAAATAGTTTAGCCAGAGATAGTTACTAAACTCGCTACTATTATTATGGCAACTCGGGAGAATACGCCGTGGTCAAAGTGGAGGTGCAGACTTTCCTTCTGTTGCCGAAGAGAGGATCCAGCGAGAGCTTGATGGGGCAACGAGGAACACGTCGCTATGGCGACCGGGGACTATTTGTGGCGGTTCTGTCAGCAATGGAAAACGGAGCGAAAAGCAAGTCGAGTCGAGTTGATACTGGTAATGAACAGCGCCATAACAGGCAGTCCAGACTTTCCATCAACCACTCTCAAATGTTTAGAAGAATACTTCGAATTCCTAGATGGAGATCGAGTTAGGTTCAGTCATCTGCTTTCACCCTGATACTCATGATGTGATTAAGATTGCATTTGCCTACACTGCATAATTAATGGAGTCAATGAAATTTAAATGGAGATTACAAGAGAAAGAAGTTTTTTCTGCTCATCTCGATCCAGAAAGGAAATGAAAGGAATAATCACCTTGATATTTACAAAGTGTGTCATTAGTATAAACTACTTACTTAATTTCACTTTCTCTGATTCGTCCTTCGTCCAGATCCTCAATGAACTTCTCTCCCTTCATCCAGTAGATGAGCGGACTCACATCGCCGCTGTAACCGAAGAACGCTCGGCACGTCAGGTTCACCGGGCTGCCTGCAAACACAAGACAAGTCCATATGTGTGATGTCTGAGAAAAATAATATCTTTCACAATATTTCTCAGTAACGGAAACTGACACTGGCCTGTTGACGGTTGTCTCTTTCAAGGAATAGAAATGAGTTCAGACTGTAATCTGACATCACAATAAGCAATGTCCTTCTGTAGATATGGTTTAACAGAAATACAGAGATTCCAGACTCAGTCATTTATCCCTAGCCCTCAGAATTAAAAACGGATGCTAACGAGAATCTCCTGTTGTGCACATTGTGAAAATGAAAAGTCTAAGAGAGATCCTGAGACTCGCATCAGGCTGAAATCTCGACAGAATGGCAAATATCTTATCTCTGGCCACTGGAGGCCACTGTGGGACCGCTCTAACACACCATCCACACGGCACAAATCCAGCACACATGTATTAGGGCAAATACTTCTGTGTTTTTTACTGTCACACACACACACACACACACACAGTGATTCAGGAAGAACAGCACAGGTCAACATGAGCCATTACCCAGCTGTCTACAAAACGAAATATACTGAAATGAAAACTATCTTTATGTATTTATCTCTTTCTACATTACTTTAGAGATTTTGTTTGATACTGTACTATGAAACAGACTTGATTCTGTCCCTAGGTTATTTTATCTTGTGTTTGTCCATCAGTTGGTGACAAAATTAAAATGTCAAGCAATGATTTCATTTTCTAAACAACTTATTGTTAAAAGTGGGTAGTTCCAGAAAAATCTGCATAACATTTTATTTCTGAGTAGCTTCTGGAGCAAGATACCGGTGTGTGGAATTAAACTGAAACTGTCATGTCTGTTACGGTAGAAAGGCACCACTAATGTAGCCTGGACGCCACAGCATTTCTTTGGTCGGGAAGTTCGGTCTGGACTCGATCCATTGAGGACTAATTATGATTGGTTCAGAAATCATTGGGCCAATCAAATTGCCAGGGTGGGCTTTATACGACGATGGACCAATGATCTGCAGATGCATAATCATCACTATCAAAGAGCGCTTGGGCTGACAACTATGCGTAGCTCAACATACGTCACTTATTGCGTTGCTCTGATTGGTTGTAGGTCTATCCAATTGAGTACATAGTTTTTATAGAGTTAAAATAAAGTTTGAGTTTTTGTTTTCCTGGTTCGGTCAGGACACGCCTCATAATCAAAGCCCCGTGGAGCCGTATCAGACTGGAATAGGAGTATGACGAAGGTCTGGCTATATTTTCAAAGTGTACTCGTGATGGTTCTCCTGTCCTGCGCACGGTTGGCGAAGTCTACTATACTCTACAGTGTACTGTACTATACCCTAACCCAATCGTTCAGTAAAACCATTATACTGTAGTGTACTGTGTGAGGGTGTGTTTTTATATGAATTGGGAAACCATTGCAAGCCCATCTTAGTTAATCGGGTCTCTATGGTGTGTTAATTGTGTTTTGTCTGTGCTGGCCTCTATTCGTTCAGATCCAGCGGAGAGGATCATCCAGACGGCTGAAAGCTGCTCTGCTCATTAAAACGCTGTTGGGAGCATTTGAGCCTTCATAATGCCATCACTGACCTCCTGTGTCAAAACCAATTTATAGGGAAGGACAGAGAGAGAGAGAGAGAGAGAGAGAGAGAGAGAGAGAGAGAGAGAGAGAGAGAGAGATTTGATTTTTAAAATACATTTTATTACAAATCGGTTTTAATTCACACAGGAGTACATATACAGCTGAATCAAAAACTCACAATATAGAGTTAAAAATCAAAGTATTACTAAATATATGACAAAGAACACCTTTTATGCACCATCTTTGCTCAAACAACCTTAGATTCTTTGTTGCATTGTAATAATGGAAATCAATTTGAATTCTTGATTTCACCAGCATTGAAAAAATCAATATTACATCTGTATCAGAATCTTTTTCAATTTTCCTTTTTCTGCTTACATAAATTGCCATTTTTGCTTGACCCAAGAAAAAGTTAAACAACTGACACTCATAAGATCGTTTTCTCGAATACTTAAAACCACAAATAAAAATCTCCATTGAGAAGACTTCATCAAACTGTTTAAATACATCTTGTAAATAAATAAACAACGGTTTTAGTCTTATACAATGCATAAAAGTATGAAACACAGTTTCTCTTTGGGAACAAAAAGGACATTCCTGATTAACTTCATGATTTATCCTTGAAACAAATGCATTAACAGCTAAAATTCCATGTAAAACTCTCCATTGCAAGTCCCCTGTTTTTTTAAGCAATGGTGACTTATAAAGTGCCCCCCATTTAGGTCTAGTATTCTCACTTAAATGTAAGACATTGCGCCATGGTGTATCTATTTTACCATCAAGACTCTTCTTATTGAAAGCTTTAACACAACACTCGTACATAGCTTTACTAGATGCTTTTTCTTTTCCCAGCAACCTCAAATTACTACACTTTAAAAAAAAACCATCACACATTTCCAAATCAGGACTCAAAGACAAATTCGGAAACGGATCATCATTCTTTGGTTGAACACACCCTTCTTCAAAGTCTTTTAACATTTGTAACTCCTCTTTGGTAATGATTTCTTTCCACTTAGACAACAGCCGAGTTACCACCCGTGTTGACCTCATCCTCAACTTCTCTTCCATTGCTTTAGAGTCAGATAAATCATGTCCAGTTATACGAACTAGGCTTCCAAGAGTAACGATGTGAGATTTAATGAGTACGTCCATCAAAGCAGGAAAACATCCCTCCTTTGACACATCCAAACGTGATCCACCAATCAATGGTTCTTGAAGAGTCCAGTACAAAGAGTCTGTTATTTCACTTCTCGATGTTTTAAAAAGTGACCATACTTTGAATAAATTACAATAAAAAATAGGTAACTTAGATACAGAAAACTTCTTGAGGTTCGTCCAAAACAAAGACTTGTCAAGACCCAGGCCTTCAAAGTTCCTAATAATAATGGAAGCAACCAAACTCCAATTCTCATTCTCAGAACTTTCAAGAAACCTTTGTACATACTTTAGCCGAAAGGCGGCCACTCGACTCTGTAGATGAATCAGACCCTGTCCCCCTTCATTTTTAGGCAGATACAAAACACTTTGTGGCACCCAGTGTAAATTATCCCAAAAAAAATTAACTAAAATAGATTGAATTTTTTTCAGAAGAATTACTGGGGGGTCAATACATGCTAGCCAATGCCAAAGAGTAGAGGCTGCCAAATTGTTAATAATTAACACCCGCCCTCTATATGACATGTTAGAAAGTAAAAACTTCCATTTATTCAAACGACCCACAATTTTCTCTTCTATCCCCTCAAAATTCTTCTTTACAGTTATATCATCTCCCAAATACACACCTAAATATTTAAACCCATCTCTACTCCACTTTAACCCCGCGGGGAGACTGGGTTGTCCATGAGTCCACTTTCCAACCAAGATAGCCTCACTTTTATTCCAATTTACTCTAGCGGAGGAAACAAACATAAAATCCCTTAAAATCTTTGTTAACGTTGACACATCGCTGTGTTCTTTAATGAAAATCACAATATCATCAGCATAAGCTGATAGTTTAAATACTTTTTCACAATTTGGAATAGTTACACCCTTTAAATCTGCTCTAAACTTCCGTAAAAGGGGTTCAATTGTTAAACTATATAACATACCAGAAAGAGCACAGCCTTGCCTGATACCTCTAAAAACACTAAAAGGGGCACATAAGTCACCATTTACCTTCAGTAAACTTTCAACATCACAATAAAGAGCTTTTAACTTATCAATAAAAATGCTATTAAACCCAAAAGCTTCTAAAACCTCCCATAAATAACTATGTTCAATTCTATCGAACGCTTTCTCTTGATCTATTGAAATCAAACCAAAATCCACATCAAAGAGCCTACTGATGTCAAACATATCTCTAACAAAAGAAATATTATCGAAAATTTGCCTTCCTGGCACACAATAGGTCTGATCAGTATGAATGACCTCTTCCAAAACCCCACTCAATCTATTTGCCAATGCCTTGGACAGAATTTTATAATCACTACATAGCAATGACACAGGCCTCCAGTTTTTTATTTCACTCAGGTCTCCCTTCTTGGGCAGTAAAGTCAACACTGCTCTACGGCAGCTCAGTGGTAATCTTCCACTGTTTAGACTTTTGTTGATGACTGCAAGCAGATCGGCACCAATCTCAGGCCAAAAAGACTTGTAAAAGTCTACAGATAGGCCATCTATACCTGGTGCTCTGCCGCCTTCCATGCCTTGAAGAGCTTTCCTCAGCTCTTCTAACGTTATCTCTCTACAGAGACCGCTGTTCGCCTCTTCAGTCACCTGAGGAAGATCCTCAATAAACACATTAGTGTTTGACCCGTGTATAAGTTCACTGCTATATAGTTCTTTATAAAATTCTACCGCTCTCTTCCGAATTTCTGTATGATTTGACAAGAGTGCCCCATCTTTAGAACGCAAAGCATGTATACATCTTTTTTGGCCATTTTTCCTTTCCAGATTGAAAAAAAATTTGGAAGATACATCCATCCACTCTATATTCTTATACCGGGATCTGATCATAGCCCCTTGTGCTTTCAGGTCTAGAATTCCTGCCAATTCTTTGCTTTTTCGATTTAAAATTTCAATAAGCTCTTGATTTTGTTCAGTTCCAATAGATTCTTGTAGTTTCTTTATATCTTTTTCTAGATTTACCATTGAAGTATTTATTTCCTTAGTGATGTTGTAAGCATACTGTTGACTCAATTGCTTGATCTGCGTTTTTCCAAAATCCCACCACTGCTGCAAAGATTGGAAATCAGATTTAGTGGTTCTATATTCATTCCAAAAAAACTTAAAAATATCTCTAAATTCCATGTCATTTAAAAGACTGTTATTAAAATGCCACATTGCACTCTTTGGTTTTACGGATCCTAAAGTTAAAAAACACTGTACTAAACTATGATCCGAAAAACTAACTGGAATAATAGAACAATCTCTAAAAAGATTAAGTTGATGTCCAAA